TCTGTCCCACCCCCAGAGTCTTAGGATGCTCCCTCCATTCCTAGGTGGCTTCTCCTGCAGGTGTGTGGGCCAGGTCACTAAAGTCTCAGGGCTGCTGATGATCAGATGTGTCCTGGCTCAACCCTGAGTACCCCCTGAGGCCATGGTCCCCAGATCACCACCTACCTTCCTCTGCTTTGTACCTGGGAGAGGTCCAAGCTGGGCCCTGGAGGGGTGGGCAGGAGGATCAAGGTTGCCAATCCATACGTGCTGGGGGCTCTCACTGGCCTCCCACTCAGAGTGGGCTCTGGGTATGGTCTCACGATGGTAGAGAAATGTATCAGCATCCCTTGCTACCAGGGCTCAGGGGAGGTGATCTGCCCAATGTCTACACTGTGTCAAACCAGACTCAGGGGTTGCTGGAGGAGGCCCGCAAGTCCTAGTGAACACACTGACCTATTCTTCTTCCCTGCAGGCCTCCCTGATCCCCCCAGAAGATGCCAAAGTGGTGGGTCGCAGTGGCCACTCCGTGACGCTGTCCTGGGTGGCTCCCACAAGCGATGGTGGAGGGGGTCTGTGTGGCTATCGGGTAGAGATGAAGAAGGGGTCCAAGGGCCAGTGGCGTTTGTGCCACGAGCTCGTGCCTGGACCTGAGTGTGTAGTGGATGGACACTGACTCCTGGGGAGACCTACCATTTTCGAGTGGCTGCTGTGGGCCCTGCAGGTGCTGGGGAGCCTGTGCACCTGCCCCAGATGGTCAGGCTGGGTGAATAGCCATCTTGGTCCTGGAGAATGCCCAGCTTCTCCAAGGTGGAGGGAAGAGTTGGCAGGGTGAGATCTGGACCCTGGAATGCCCCCACACCTGATGTGGCCTGTCCTCCGTGGACACTGTTCCCCAGCAGAACCAGTGGAGTCTGCACCTCCCCCACCCCCTATCCCTGTGAGCCGGCAGGTGGTGGCCGGAGAGGATGTCTGTCTGGAGGTGGAGATGGCAGCTGAGGCTGGCGAGGTCGTCTGGCACAAGGGGAAGGAGTGCATCCAACCAAGTGGGCACTTTGAGGTTCTTTCCCGGGGGCGGCAGCAGACACTGGTGATCAAGGGCTTCAGGGCAGAAGACCAGGGCAAGTACTGCTGTGGCCCTGCCCATGCCCTGGCCTCCATGGAGGCTGCTACCTTCCAGGGTGAGTACTAGGTTTTGGGCTGGGAAACCTTGAAAGTGGAAGGGAGTGGCCTCTCCCACCCCATCACTTTCTCCCGGGAGGTTGTCAGTGCCCCACCTCGGAGCCTGATCCAGGTGCATTCCCTGTGCATGTATCCCACCCCTACAGTGTGGGCCTGTGAATCTAGGCCCAGGCTCACTGTGCAGAGCCATTTTCTGTTCTGGTCACCACATTGTCTATGCAGGAGGTGAACTGACATAGGGAGGGAAGACTGAGGCTCAGTGCTTCTAGACCTGGTAAAACCAG